GATGGGAGAAGCCGGGTGAGGGCGGGGCCAAGGCTGTAGAGGAGATGGAAGGAGGGTGAGGGCGGGGCCAAGGCTGTAGAAGTGATGGGAGGAGCCGGGTGAGGGCGGGGCCAAGGCCGTAGAGGAGATGGAAGGAGGGTGAGGGCGGGGCCAAGGCTGTAGAAGTGATGCGAGGAGCCGGGTAAGTGGGAATGGTGCGTAGAGGCAGAGTCAGGGCCTAGGTGGGGGTTTAAGAGGGTCAGTTGAGCCCCGGGGCTGCGCAAGGGTGACACCTACCAGAAAATGGGGCTCTGGCCTGGCTCGCGGACCACATAATAGTCCTTGTCGAGCGGCAGCAGCTTGGCGAGGCCGAAGTCGGCGATCTTGACGTGCGCCTCGTTCTCCACCAGGATGTTGCGGGCCGCCAGGTCTCGGTGAACACAGCGGCAGAGGCCCAGGTATTCCATGCCCTGAGGGCAGCAGCATGGGGGCACAGAGATATACTCTAGGATGACTTACCGGGGACCTCAATCTCAACCCAGAACCCCACTCTGAGCCATCCACTCCTGTTATAATCTCCATCTGAATCTCCAAGCACGACCTCAATCCCAAATTTCTATCCTTAGCCTTAATCGTTCACCCACGCACAGCCTGATTAAGCCGAGGCGGCTGGGGCGCACCCCTCACCGCACCTTGCAGATCTGCGAGGCGTACAGAAGCAGGCGGCCTGCGTCCAGGCGGGTGCGGTACCTCTGCAGGTAGTCACGCAAGCAGCCGCTGGGCAGGTACTCCATGACCAGGCGCAGGCTCTGGCGGCCTGGGGGTGGGGAAGGCAGGGTCACGGGTGTTCTTCCTGTCTACTCCCCCTCCACATCTCCCTCCACAATAAGACCTAGATTCCCTCCAGGCCTCAGTGTTGCTGCCTGTTAAATGGGGATGGGGACAACGAAATTTTTTTCTAATATCAGGATCTTCAACAACGTACATTGACTTGTCTAGACCTCATGACGACTAATTTTTTTTTTTCTAGTGGAGTAAAGAGGGGTTAAACAGTCTGCCCAAGCTAGTGAGGGGCAGAGCGGGTTCCAAACTGCCGCCCCTCATGTATTATTGATGGTCCATCAAGTGCGTAGGATTCAAGGACCTCAGTTTCACATTCCAGGACATGGCTAACCAGGGCCATAGCTGACACCACGATACTTGACGATGAAGTCACTGTGAAGGGCTTTAAGAATCTGAATCTCCCTCTGGAAGTCCCTCTGCTGGTCTGGCCCGCTGTGCTGTAGCTGTTTCACAGCCACCAGAGCGCCTGTGTTGTCGCCCAGTGGGTCATAGCGGCACAACTCCACGCTGCCAAAGTTGCCCTAGGAGAAGAGACTGGGGTCAGCTAGCAAAGGTGGGTCCTGGCCCCACCTCCTCGGAGAGGCCCTGCCCTCCCCAGAAAGGCTCCGCCCACTCATCCAGGCACCCTCACCTTGCCCAGCTGTGAGATGTACTTGAGGTGCCTCTCCTCGAAGATCGTGGGGTCCTGACAGACATACAACTGGACTCCATTCCACAGCCCATCGCGGGGTGCCAAGGCATTAGGCGTGGGATCCGAGAGGAGCTCGTAATCTGTGTGGGTAGGATATATATGAGCAATGCATCCCCCACCAAGCAAAGCTCCTGATTTAACTGCTGTGTTATCTTTATGTACACAGCCAACTCTCTCTGTGCTTTACCGCAGGGTCACTGTAAGCTAAAGGGCTCCTTTGGACAATCCACTTGAGCAGTGCTCTGCCTATGCAATTGTCCAAGCCTGGCCGCGTGACTAAATGTAGGCCATTGTGTGTCCTTCCTAGCCCTGCCCATCCTGCTCCCTTTGCAGGCACCTGAAGTGATGAGGCTGTTGAGGTCTCGGATGACCGCGCGGAAGGAGGGCCTGTGACCCGGCTCATAGGCCATGCACTGCTGGATCATCAGGGCCAGCTCTGTCCACTTGGGGGCTGGCAGCTCCTGCTGGTCCTTATAGAACTGGAGTTTCTGGAGGGGGGAGTTAGTGTTGGTTATATCTGGTGCCCAACCTGCCCAGGCAGGACCTTCTGCTGAATCTACCCATCCAATGCCGGGAGGGGGTTCTGACCTTGGCAGGATCCAGGGCACTAATGGGCATGGGGACCCCGCTGAACACCTCCCAGACTGTGGCACCAAAACCCCACTTGTCAGCCTCCAAGCCGAGTGTCCGGGCCTCCTGGAGACACTCAGGGGCCACCCAGGGGATCCTGTCGGTGAGCACTGCAGATCAAGGAAGAGATGCTCAGGGCCCCATCTCCTTGCCCACCAGGCCTGAACTCTGCTGCCTACGCACACTTACTCTCCAGGCTTAGCACCATGGGGCTGACCCCAGGGTCACTCAGCTTGATGAAGGGTGGGCTTCCGTCAGCTCCTTCCCGAGCCAGAAGCACCTTCCGGGCTGAGACGTTGCCATGAGTGAGGCCTTTGTCCTCCTACATGGACCAGACAGACATAGGAGTATACCAGAGAGGATTTGATGGCTGAATCTGCTGGATGGGAAACTCGTATACATCCTTCAAAGCCCAGCTGGTACTGCCCAGATCATGCTCCAGCATCTTTCCTAGATTACCTGTCTGGCCCTATGTGGTACATTTTAAATCTTTCCAATTTAGACCTTGCCCACTCTTCCCAGGAGCTTCTTTTTCCTCCTGTCCTGGTTTCCCACTAAATGAACTGCATACGGGGTCCCAGGATATGAATAACCTGAAAGTATTTTCCCAGGCTGTTCTTTCAGCCTAACACTCTCCTGTGATGAAATTCTACTTCATCTTTAAGTCCCCAGCTCCAATATCCCTACCACTACTTTCCCCAACTTCAGGCTCCATGGGTAACTTTCTTGTGTTGTTACACCTCTCAGCTTTATTCATTCTTACCAAACTCCTATCTATACTTCAGAGCCCCCTCCACCTAGAGGAAGATTTTTCTATAAATGGATGATGGAGCAGACAGAGCAGCACTTACTAAATAGTTCAGCGCGTAGGCCAGCTGCTTGACCACCTGCAGCTTCCAGCTGGCTGGCACCAGGTGGCCACGCTTGCGCAGGTATGTGTCTAGTGCCCCCAGGTGCACAAACTCCTGGACCATGATGCCTGGTGGTGTCAGGAAGAGAAAGAGTGGAAGGCTGGACTGGACTTCTGTTCAGAACACACTGCCCCCACCCCAGGCTTGAGGGTCTCTCAAACTTCAACTCGGGCTCTTTCTAACAACATCTCTAGCGTAATGACCCACATCTGCTTCACTGCTTCCATCACTCTGAAATATTTGCCAAGTTATCTCTCTTTACCTCATTTGCAGTTCATTTTGTGGACTAGACTCTCCCCCCAACTCTTCTTCTCCTTCCTTAAGTCCCATTTATATACACACACACACATGCACACCTATATCTCTAATTTTTTGTGATTTTAAAGAAATTCATTCATTGCTTCACATTTTCCTCCCTACCCTCTCCCAGTTCACTTTCCTCTTTAAAAAATTCATTCAATGTTGCAAAGTCCTGTTTATTCTTGCCTTTCCACTTTAAAGCTTTATTAACCCCTAACCATCTCCTTCACATCCTTCCAAGCGCACTTGTTCCTGTTCAGACCACGTCCTAGCATCCTCCCTAGTCTTTGGGCATCATGTGTGGCCCTCTGTAATCCATCTCCCACCCTGATTTGACCTTGAGAATGAGTCAGCAGCCTCTTCTGACCACTGGCAATTCCCTGAGATACCCCCATCATACACTGATCACTTATCAGACCTCCCACCCCCAGTCTGTCACATTCTACACTGACATGTCCACCTCCTTCCTCTTGGAGAATTCCTACACAATCTTCAAGGCTCTGATGTCCCCTCTACTATTTTCCCTGATTAAGCCGGGTCCCCACTTCCTAACATATCCTGAGGGGTGATAAATAGCAGCTGAGCTGAATTCATAACAAACCAAGGCTTGGAGAATAGGTCCTTGCAAAGGTGAGATTGGAACTCAGTTCCTTCTGACCTATGACACCTCTAGGGGTGGGAACTGGAGCCCCCGCCGCCCATGGAGGAATGGGTACAGGACGACACTCACTGGTGGCCATGGGCTCCAGCCAGGGCAGGCTCAAGTGTACTGCTAATGTTCCTATATATAGTTTTAGTAGGGTTTAGGGAGAGGGGCGGCCCCGGGCTGGGAGGTAGGGAGGTCAGGGTGGTCTCTCACTGTCTCCAGCCATGCACACGCCATGCAGCAAGACGAGATGCTGATACGACACTTGGCTCATCAAGCTTGCTGCTTCCAGAAATGACTGGGGGAGAGTAGGTGGAGAGAGAAACTATGTGGGTCCTTCCACTCCAAAGAAGAACCCCCAAACTTGGCTGCTTACAAACCAGCCTCAAGTATTCTTCCTTGGGCCGTGGCTCCTGAAACCTATTATTAGGGCCTACAACTCTCAAGTTATTTTCTATTAGTGACAGAAGTTCCCCCAGTAATCTATCTAGAGTTTCTCACACAGAAGTGAGAGATTCAGGATCCAGGCCCTGCAGATATCTCTACCCACACCTCCCTCTTTCCCTCTCTAGCTCTTCTCCAGCTCCTGGGCCTCCTTGCTGTTCCTTAAACCAGGCAGGCTCAGCCCTGCCCCAGGGCCTTTGCACTGCTTATTCCCTCTCCCAGGTACACTGTTTTCACCTGCTTCTATCTTCCACAGTTCTTCCATACTGTAGAGTTTGGAAATGCCCTGGCTATGCTTCTGTTGTTTTTAGTTCCCACATTTCTAAAACTCTTCTGAGCCCTCAACCCTCACCCAGAAGTCCCACCATCTCCCTCCCGCTCACCTCCATATAGTTCTTATGCTTGGCATCCATCACCTTGAGCAGCACCTCAGTCTCCCAGACTTCTCCCTCGATGGCCTCATGGCGACAACCCCGGTAAATTTTAGTGAAGGACCCGTGGCCCAGGTTTTCATGCTGGAGGGAGAGGGGCAACAGGAGAGGGCTGTGAGGTGCTGCCTTGGGATCTCAGTTGCCAGTCGACCACCCCAAAAAGGCACAGGAGCTGATCTCATTTTACATGGGGAAACTGAGGCATAGGACAGCTAAATCATGTGCCTGAGGCTACCCAGCAGAGAAGAGTGTAGACTCAGGTCTCAAGACTCCAGACTTTGAGGTCCTACCCCATCTCCACCTCCCCAGGACCCCTTACCCACTCCAGGCTGTCTGGTGGGATCTTGTGAAATGTCATCTGGCTCAGCTGGCATTGGGATTGGGGCTGAACAAGGGATGACGTGGGCAGATTGCAGCCTCCCCGGACCACAATCAGGTTGGACTTTTCTATGGATACAAGGCAGTTGGGGGGAGGAGGGGGCAAGAATCAAAGGTGAGAAAAAAAGGGATTAATGCCTGTATTTGTTTGAAGGTCCCTTCCAGAAGCTAACTCTGAATTGATAACTCAGGGATAGATACATGATTTATTTAAAGGTGGCCCTTGAAACCCTAGTGGGAGTTCAAGAAGTGAGACAGAGAAGAAAGGAGCCCCAATGGTGTTGTTAGGTACCGTTGAGTTTAGTACAACTCATGGTGATCCTATAATCAAAAGATCTGAACCCTGTTATATCCTGAGCCATCCTCACACCTCCTGACACCCACAAGAGCCCATTGTGACAATCACTGTGTCAGATCACCTGGTTAGGGTCTTCCTCTCCTTCACCGATCCTCCACCCTTCCTAGCATCATGACTTTCTCCAAAGAACATACCCAAATTATGTGAGGCAAAGCCTCATCATTCTTGCCTCCAAAGACCACTCTGGCTGTACACTCTCCAAAACATATCTGTTTGTTCTTTTGGCTGTCCATGGGATATGCAGTGCTCTTCTCCAACACCACAGCTCAAAGGCATCAATTCTTTTTCTGTCATCCTTAGTCATTTTCCAGCTCTCAGATATATAGCAAGTGATTTGAAAGATGATGGCCTGAATCAGATGCACCTTAGTACTCAAACTGACATCATTACTCCTCAGTAATTTGGAGAGGACCCTAACTGCAGATTTTCCCAGTGCAACATGTCTCCTTATTTCCTGATTGCTGGTACCAAGGGAAGGAGCCCCATAAGGGGGCAATAATGAGCAGATGGCTCTGTGACAACCAGGACTCAGTCCTCGGAGACTGGAGTACACTTCACAACTGTTGAAAATGTTTGAGTGTGAAATTCACCTAGAAGAAATGCTAAAAGATGGAGAGAGACTGAGCTCTAGTAACATCTCTAGGATTCAGCTGCACCTAGATCCAGCTGTGCCTGAAGCTTTATCAATCCATTTGCCATTAAATCCTCCTTCCCCCACTTCCCCCAAACCACCTTGACCTGCAATTTCTGCCCACTTGCCACACAGAAATATCAAAAGTGAGGGGCCAAGATTTCTCAGCTTCAAAGAGAGCACTGCCTCACCTTTGGGTCTAGGGAGGCAGCAGGAGATGAGGTTCAGGGCAATTCCATCTACATGCAGCCCACCATCCCAGCAGGCTGCCAGGAGTTCACGAAGGCTGCTGTGGGGCCGCCCCACACCAGCCAGGGAGACAGTTCCAGTGGGGTCTCGCTGGATGAGGCAACCTTTGTAATCTGGGCCAAGGGGTGTCTGCAAAGGAAGGTAATCCCTGAATGAGTGTGGGCATCACCATCTCCTTGACTCCTCTTCGTCAAGCACCATAAAATAATTTCAACCTCTAGATCTTAGCATATACTGTTCCCTCCCCTGAGAATGTTCACTGGGCAATTATAAACACATATTTTTAACAATTTTTTTTATTCCTTTTAAAAAAAAGTTTTTGACACATCTTTCACATCTTAACACAGAGGTCTCTTCCTCCAGGAAGCCCTCCTTGCCTTCCTTGCCCCTACAGGGTGGACTCTATTCTAAGTCAAGTATCTTCCCAGAATAGAGAAATGAGATGAGATGGTCAAACCTGAACACAGACAGTGAGCAGGAAGCTGTCAAAGTCTTGGGGGCTCCGGCGGAGGACGTAGGAGCCAGGAAGTGAGCCCTTTGTCTTGAGCTTGTCAATGGCAAAATCCAGCCTGTGGGGACAGGTGACATGGGAGGGTAGAGGGAATCAAAGAAAGAGATGAAGGGAGACAGGCAGAGGCTGAGAAAGAAAACTAGTCTGAGGTCCAAATCCATTTCCCTCTGGACCATCCAGGACCCTCGTCATCTAACTGCCTTATCTATGAAAACCTCAAGTTCATTGCTGATGGAGTCGGAAATGACTCCTAACTGACCCTCCAGCTAGTTTTTGGAGGCTGTAAATCACATGAGAGGAAATGGTTTATTTTTCCTTAGAGCTGTTAGAAGATTCAAATTACTAAGGTAGCCTTAGGTAGCAGTGAACTCTCTACAGACTATGCCGTCTTCTTTTATAAAATGAGAGGAAAATCGTGGCTTCTGCCAAGAGATTGAAAAAGTCAAGAGAGGTGAAGCCAGTCGCCCTGTCCGTCCCAAGAAATGGCTCTGGGGCCCGGGAGTCAGAGAGGGGAGTATCGCTGAGTCAGGGGTTGAGAGACCTCAGCCTCCTGGAAATTCAAATACACACTGGGCCTGTTCCAAATGCCTGGTATCTTGGTCAACGATCCTAAGGCAAGCCTAGGAGGTGGAGGAGACTCAGCTGCCGAGAAGAGTGACTCTTGTGGCCTGGGAGAGGGACCTGAATCAGGTGACCACTGGGCAGAAGGAAAGGTCCTTACGTGATGGGACCATGGCAATGCTCAGCCACCTCCTCCAGCAGCCTCGGAGGCGCCACCTCTTTACAAAAGTAGTGTCGCGAGTCGGTGGTGAGCCGGAAGTAGCCGTCCACGAGCGCCACGAAGGACAAGGCGGCCAGGAGCCCGGGGAACTCGGTCTCCTGCTCGGAAACCAGAGTCAGAGCCCACCGTGGATAGAAGGGGAAGGTCCCCAGGCCTCGACACACATCCCTCCACCACCACCCCCCCCACCCCCCCCCGGGAAGGCCGCCCAGGGCACCCACCAGGATCTGATTGTCCGCCCTGGTGATGGTGACCATGCGGTGCTCCCCAGCTGGACCCGTGCGCTGGGCCTGCTTGACACTGACGTCTACGATTTCGGGGAAGTCACAGAAGGGCTGCAGACTCTAGAGAAGAGGGACAGGGCTTAGCCCTCAAGTTCTCTCGGGAACCTGGACGCTCCCCAGCCCTGCGAAGCACTCCTACCGCTCTCAGCCTCATCTCTGACCCTCCCCGCTTCTAATCTTCTGTCCCTTCCACTCTCACCTCCCTCCTCTTTCTCAGTCTCACCCAGACAAGTCCTAGGTCCCTCTTTCATCCATCCAGTCCCCACCATGTGTCCCTCTCTCTTCTATATCCCACCCCCTCATAAGTCCCACCCTTCTGACGCCCACGCCGATTTCTGAATCCCACAGACCCCAACTGAGCATCCCCTTCCTGCCCCAAATTACGCCCCCTTCCTCCCAAGCCCCCTCTTCAAGCCCTTTCGAGACGCTGGTCTTTTTTTATAAGATCTGCCTCCTCTGAGCCCTGCCCCCATGAGGCTTCCTAAACCACTTCCTGGCTTAGTTGCACCCCAAATAAATACTGCTATCTACCTTTTATTAGTATAGCCGGGAACCCTGCCCCTCTTTAATATTCATTCCTTTCTAGGATAAATCTCTGTAATGCCGCCCACCCGTAGCCCCTCTCACTCAACTTGTCTCCATCTCCACCCTAGTTTAGCCCCATCCCCTTTCCAGCCCACTCCCACAAACCCCTCCCCCCAACCTTGGCCCGCCCCTCCAGAGCCCAGTCCACCCAATCACATTCTGTCCTCTCTGCTTGTTTTCATTCCCTCTCCACTCGGCTCCACCCCCTCACTTAGCTCCGCCCCGCAGGCCACGCCCTCACCTCGTGGTCGCCCAGGCTCCAGGAGATGCCGCTGCCAGCGGCCACACTCAGCAGGCCCTGCTGGTCCTGACCCCCGGGGACCCCCGGAAGGCCCACGTGGAAGGTCTCGACGGCTCCGGATGGGTCCAGCCGCTCCAGGTCCATAATGTACTTGACCATGAGCGATTGCCGGTCCGCTTGGCAGGCAGCCACGCGGCGCAGAGCCAGGCTCACGGTCCTCCGGATGCGCCTCCGGGTCACAAAGCTGAGGCCCTGGATGAAGTTGCGCAGGCTGGGCGGCAGGCAGGCCTTGTAGCTGCGGGGGAGAAGGCCTCGGTGTGTGGGGATGGACATTCAGTTTCATAACTGAGGAGTCCCCATGGGAGGGCTCACTGAGGGAAACCAGGCGCCCGAAACGACACTCTCAGTTATAGGAGTGGGGCTCAGCCTCAGGGGTATGGACCCTGGGATGGACGGAGGATACACATTCTTCACTTTAGGAGGCAAAGCCTCAGCCCAGGCACTCCCCTTTGGGGGTGGAGGGTAGGGGCGGGCCTTGGACCGGGCAGGCTTTGGGGTGTCAAGACCCATGGAGCCCCTGGTGAAGTCCAGAGTGGACCTGCACCTTCCTGAGCCCTCACCTGATGGTCTTCAGCAGATCCTCCGGTTGCTGGGCCCGCTCAAGCGCCATGCGAGTCAGGTCCAGCACAGCCAGGCTGAGGCACTCGCCCTGCTCCTTGAGGTCCAGCCCCACCCGGAGGTGACCATTCACCAGGTCGCTGCGGTGCTGAGTGCCAGACACAGAGAGGGTCAGCTGAAGCCCTGGTGTGCTCTGTTGACCCCTATTTCTAGGCTGCCATGGGGAGGGTCAGCTGAGGCCACCCAACAATTAGCGCTGGTGTTCACCTGCTAACTTCCAGTTGAGGGCCGGCCCCCAACCCTAGGTTGTCATAAGGAGGGCTGAGGAATGCTGATGTGGCCATGCTGGCTCCTCCACTCAAGTGTTAACCTGAAACTCTGGGCTGATCCTGAGCCCTAGGCTTCCAGGGGGAAGTTCAGCCAAGGCTGTCCAGCTACAGACCCTGGTATGACTCTGCTGATCCTAATCTGAACCCCAAAGCCAGGGCTGACCCGAAACCCAAGGCTAATCATCAACCCTAGGCTGCCACAGGAAAAGTAAACTGATACCACCCAACCATGAACCCTCCCACCCCAGGACTGACCCCCAACCAAGAGTTAATTCACCCAATCCCCAGCTAAGCCCCAATCTTAAACTGTCACAGAGAGGATCAGCAGAGATTCCCCACCCACAAGCCGGTTTGTGGCTCTGCTTCTCCCTGACCCTGGGTCAAAGCGCTCCGAACTCTCACCTGGGCAAAGAGGTGCTCCACTACCGGCAGGTCGAGGATGGCACTGGCCAAGTCCTTGCGGAGCCCAAAGCGGTGGCATTTCTCCAGGCCAAACCAGTTGGGGAAGTAAAAGCTGAAGGAAAAGAGAGCCTAGGGTGGATTGTAGGCATCCTGGCCTCCACGCTGGGGGGTGTGGTGGGAGTGCTGGCCTTCCAGGGCCTAGGCTGTACAGCTGACTTTCTGTGTGATTTTGGGAAAATGTCCACCGCTCTTTGGTCTCAGTTTCCTCCTCTGTGACATAAGCAATGACCACACTCACCCACCCTTAGAGGCACCAGGAGGCATAGGAAGACCATACACTCTTGATCATGTTAAATGTCCATTTCCTTAGTCCTCAGAAAAAGGCTTCTGGTCAGGGTAACATTCTAGACAGAGCCTGCGGGGAGGGGCTTTCCTACCGGAGCCTGTAGACCAGGATGTGAGTGCTCCCATCCTCCACAGAGAACACGTGGCTTGGGGGGAACCAGCAGGACAGGTCCTCGGTGGCCAAGGCAAAGAGGGAATGGTACACTGGCAGGATTCCTGTGGGGACAGTCCCGTCAGCTCCCTTCTCTGCATGTCCACCTGTCCCCCTGCATGGCTGCCAGTGTCTCCCCCTCCCCCAACTCTACAGTATCTTCCTCACCTTCAGCTCTGACACCATGTCCCAATCTTGTTTACACATACCCCAAGGCTCCCTATTGCCCTCAAGAGAGAAGCCACTTACTGTTTTTCAAGGCTCCGTGCCTCTCTTCCCAGGCAACCCACTTCCTTTCTATACTTTTCTCAGGATGACCACCTGTTACCTTCTTATGCCATCACACTTCTTGGATTTTGTATATGCCAGTCATTCTGCCTTAATTTCCCAGCCTGTATGTCGTCCTTTGAAACCTAATTCATTGCTGCAAGTCATTTCTGATGGGATCAACTGTCTAGAGTTCCCAAGGCTATGAACCTTTACAGAAGCTGACTGCCACATCTTTCTTCTGAGGAGCTGCTGGCCGATCAGAACCTCTGAACACTGTGCCACCATGACTCTTCTTCCTCTATTATCAAACTACTACTTATCCCTCAAAACCCCAGCTCCAATCTGCCACAGGCGGTTTCTCATCACCCTCTCCCCATATCCTTGGCCTTTCCTCTGGAATAACCCACTTACCACTGGCCTTAGCAGCCCGTACACACAGTTCCTCCGCCGAGTGATCCCCAAAGGAAAAGGAGAGTCTCTCAGGGGGCCCCGGGCCCCTCGGGGGAAGCAGGACATGCAGGGTACCAGCCTCTGAGGATGAGAGGCTGCAGGAGCGCTGAGAGATCAGGGGGGTCTCCTCACTTGGAGGGGCCATAAGTGCAGCCTGTCTGAGACACAGGGAGAGATGGCCCTTCAGTCTCAGGCAGGTGTCCTCAACTCATCCACAGGCAAGCAGAACGGAACTTCTTGGCAGGTGAGGATGAATAAAATGAGCAGAGATGCTACAGAATACAGATAAGGATGGAGCCAAGGTGGATGGATGGCTGTAGAGGAGAATGGGAAAGAGACACAAACAGAAAAGAAGGAAATGGAAAGAGACAGAAAAAGAGGGAGACAGGGCTGAGTGTGCAAGAGACACACCCATGTCAGGGCTGAGCTAGGAGTTACAGAGCATTCAGCTCAGCTTTCTATAAATTCACACCACTGCACTTCTCAGGGCTGGAGCCAGCCATCACCAATCAATTCACAGCTTTCAGTCACCCCAGCCCACCCTGTGCCCCCTGACAGACATGCACAATCAATTACAAATGTGAAGATTTGCCCACCAAGGAAGCAGATAGTTGTTGTATTTCTTCACCGTGTCTGTCTAATTATCTCTATCTTTGTCTCGTTCATTATCCCACCCTCCTTTTACCCCTCCAGTCATCTTTCCCCTCCCCTCAGTCTTCTATGGCCAAAAGTCCACCAGGGTGGACACAAGAGGAAACCATTCCCTTCCTCGTATCCCCCAACACACTTAACCTCTAACTCTCTCAGGAGGAGCCCCAGAGCTCAGGGCCTTGTTAACCAGGGTGATGGGCTTGAGCTTCAAGTCCAGAGAGCAAATGGGAAAGGCAGATCCATTAGAATTGGCCAGCAAGATGCTCCAAAGAAAATGTGGGTAAAAATTTATATTCTACAACAAGATCCCCCAAATCAAACCCTTTGTAGTTGGGTTGATTCCAACTCATAGTAACTCCTTAGGACAAACTGGAGCCGTCCCATGGAGTTTCCAAGACTATAATCTTTACTGAAGCAGACTGCCACGTCTTTCTTTTGCAGAAGAAAAATTTGAAGAATTTCTTCTGCAAGTGAGTTTGAACCACCAAGCTTTCCCTTAATAATCAAGCACTTAGTCACTATGTCACCAGGGTGCCAACAAGACCCTAGGAGGTGACATTCATGGTACTATTGGTACCATCAGCCAGGAGAATCAAAAGATGAATTACATTGGGAAAATCTGCTGTCAAGGACGTCTCCTGAGTACTGGAGAGCAATGGTGTCATTCTAGAGATTAAGGTGTGCCTGATCCAGGCCATGGTCTTCTTGCTATGAATCAGAAATCTGGACAATGACTAAGGATGACAGAAGAAGAACTGATACCTTTGAATTGTGTTGCTGAAGAAGAGTATTGAATATACCATGGACTGCTAGGAGACCAAACAGGTTTGTTCTGGAGAGGGTGAAATCAGGCTGCTCCTTGGAGGCAAGGATTCTGAAGCTTCATCTGGCATACTTTGGACATGTTGCAAGAAGGGATCAGTTCTTGGAGAGAAATATTATGCTTGGAAGGGTGGAAGAACAGCACAAGAGTGGAAGACCCTTGATTTGATGGATTGAGTCCGTGACTGGGGTAATGGGGGTTAGGTGTGTCAGAGACAATGAAGTTGGCCTAGGACAGAGAGGGGTCAGAGCTGTTGTGCATAGGGTCACTGTGAGTTAGCTGAAAGCAACTTGATGGCACATAACAACAACCTCCACTCAGCCCTGAGGGCAGATGATATCCTCAAGCTCCAAGTTCAAATCTCTGAGTCCACCTTTAAAATGGACCAATCAAGAGAAAAGGACAACATGGTAAAGCTGAGGTTGGAGGAAAGGAGGGAGACCCTCCATGAGATGAATTAATACAATGGCTGCAGCAATGGGTTCGAACCATCAATGATCACGGGCTAATACAGGACCAGGCAATGCTTTGCCCTGGTGCCCGGGAACACCTTGAGTTGAAGGTCACTTAATTTTTTTAAAATTTAATTTTATTTTATTCGTGTGTGTGTGTGTGTGTGTGTGTGTACCTTCAAAACGGACCTGACTGGTACAGGAGGAGATTATCCTTCCTTCTCCAGCAAAGCATCTGGTGGATTTGAACCGCACACCTCTGGGATTGCAGTGCAGCTTCTTGCCACTAGAAAGTCACTTAAAGGCCAGTAACAAACACTCCACCATATCCCTTTCATGTGACTCCACTCTCTGGGCCCCAGCTTCCTTGGCTGAGCAATTGGCTGACTCCTCATGTCCCCATAAGGTAGTTTGTTAATCCCAGCCTGGTCCCAAGGTGTCAGCTGTTAAAAAGCACTAACTCCTGTCATCCTGGATCAGGTGCCAGCATCTCCTCCTCCCTTTGCCATTGAGTTGGAATTTACTCATAGCTGATCCTCCAACAGAATTTCAGAGGCTGTAAATTGCATAAGAGGAGATTGTCCATCTTGGAGCAGCTGGTGGATTCGAATTACCTGCCTTTGGGTTGGTAGCACAACTCCCTACCACTAAGCCACCAGAGAGAGCTCCCTATGCGCTCAGGCAGCCTTTGACAATTTCCAGCTAAATCTGCTAGGAAGGACCCTGGGAACCACAATTGGAAAGAGAACATAGAGGAATGGAGAATTTTCCAGAAAGGAGGTCCTCAGTGCCCAGACCAGGGATCAGAACAGTCTTGGCCCCAGGAGCCTTAAAGCCTCTCTGTTACCCCAACAGTGGTCATTTACCATCCTGATTCTAACAACCAAATGGGTTCCACACCTGTTTGCACTTTGTACCAATGGGATCATTAATGTGTCCTCTGATACTCCCTCAATGTTGTAAGATTATAATAATAATAAAGGAATCTTAACCAGTCTGAGCACAGATAACTTAGCATTCATTTTTCCACAGTAAGAAACAGAAGGACCTAAAGCCCCTATAGGGAATAACTTGTTGGTTCCAGGCCTTCAAGTTGCATCAGGGGATAGATATCAAGGTAAATTGGTATAACATAACAAAGATATATCTACATCCTACTTTAGTAAATAGCAACGAGGGTCTTAAAAACTTGCAAGTAGCCTTTCTACGAAGATGGCGCTGAAAGTGGAGAAAGAAGCCCCAGCAGCCCCTCCCAAAACTAAAACCAAAGCAAAGGTATTAAAGGCCAAGAAGGCGTCCTGAAGGGCGTCCACAGCCAAAAAAAAAAAAAAAAAGAAGATCTGCATGTCACCAACTTTACGGCAGCCTAAGACGCTGAGACTCCAAAGGTGGCCCAAATACCCCCGGAAGAGCGGCCCCAGGAGAAACAAGCTTGACCACTATGCCATCATCAAGTTTCTCCTGACCACTGAGTCAGCCAGGAAGAAGACAGAAGATAACAACACACTTGTGTTCATTGTGGATGTCAAGGCCAACAAGCACCAAATTAACATGTTGAGGCAAATGACAGCAAATGTGTTTCTAAGCACGACTGTCAATTTAAAAAGTGTGCGGCAATGTGTTAAACAAGCTGTAAAGAAACTGACATTGATTCCTCATAGGTGAGCGGTTTAAATCCACCAGATGGTCTGCTGGAGAAGGAAGGGCAAACTCCTCCTGCACCAGTCAGATCCAATTTGATGGTACACACACACACACACACACAAAATAATTACATTTAAAAAAAAGAAGCTCTGACATTGATGTGGCCAAGGTCAACACCTTGATCAGGCCTGATGGAGAGAAGAAGGCCAGTGTTCAACTTACTCCTGACTATGATGCTTTGGACATTGCCAACAAAATTGGAATCATCTAAATTGAGTCCAGCTGGCTAATTCTAAATACAAATTTTTCTCGCCAAAACAGAACAAAACCCTTGCAAGTAGTTATCTAACATACAACTATTAGATTCTCCTGTCCTGGGTAAAGAAGATTGAAGGAAATCACAGCCACGTGGAAGCAGTCAGTCCACAGTAATAATGGAGCTCATGAACCTCAGCCTCCATGACTGAGACCAGATGAACTAGCTGCTGCCCAGCTACCACTGCTGACTGCTCTACAAAGGGTCACAACAGGAGGTCCTTAGGGTGAGAGAGAAAGTTATAGACCAAATCAAAAAGAATCATAAAATAGCCAACCTTATTGGTCTGACAGAGCCTGGTGAAACTCCCAAGGCTATGGCTTTTGTTGTTGTTGTTAGGTGCCAGGGTGTCAAGTACAACGCATAGGCACCCTATGAGCAACAGATCTGAACCCTTTCCTATCCTGTGCCATCCTCACAGTCTCTGACACACTTGAGCTCTTTGCTGCAGTCACTGTGTCAATCAAGCTACATGGTTGAGGGTCTTTAGTACCCTTTGAATGTAGGATTGACTCTAATGACATAGGCTTCAAGCAAACAACAGACTGGCTTATAAAGTGAACTGCAGGTAACTCTGGTGGCCTAGTGGTAAGAAGCTGAACTGCAATCCCAAAGCCACACAGTTCAAATTCATCCTCTGTTCCTTGAGAGGAGGATGAGCAATCCCCTTCCATGTGACTAACTGTCTCTGAAAATCTGTTTGAGGGTCAGCACAGGTTGGCTCCAATTCCACAGCACACAACGACAGTAACATGAGCAGTAACACAAGGGAAGTGCTTAGTCCTTGAAACAATGAACTGTTCAAGGTCAGCATGTGCCTAGAGACAAAACCCAGACAGCAGGAAGGGATGTGATGGGAGGATGAATGGAAACAGGAACCACAAGGAGGAAGTGGTATCTATTATGGGGATTGTGACCACTGTAAAAAAACCAAAATGTGTATGAATGGCTGAATGTAATACCAATCTATGCAGTAAACTTTTTCTCCAATCTCAATTTTTTAAAAAAATATAAACAACTATGAGATATCATCTCATCCCAGTAAGAATAGCAAAATTTAACAGAAAAGCAAACAACAAATGCTGGTGAGGTTGTGGAAAAACTGGAACCCTTATTCACTGTTGGTGGGAGTATAAAATGGTGCAACTTCTCTGGAAGGTGGTTTGGCACTTTCTCAAAAAGATGCAAATGGAAATACCATTTGACAGAGCAATTCCACTACTGGGAATATATCCCAAAGAAATCATAACTGCCACCCA